AAACACATTACTCACTATAAGCTACAGCCTCTCTTTAATACTGTCTGTAGTAAATATTCCTTTCAAGCCTTTCCTCTGCTCTCCCTGCCTATTTTCAGTATCAGTTCTTCTTATCACAGCATGACCATGAGTTGGGTTTCTTGTCAGTTATAAATCCCAGGTCTCACTTAGTCACTTTCTAGCAGGATTTAAAAGTATTAGAAGTATTAACATTTTGTGTAAATGATCTGTACTTGCCAAATTATACTCTTTTACAAGGCTGTCCTCTTTCGTGCTTCCAGTTGCCTYGCTCCTTGTGCCATCTGTAAAACCTTTTGCTAATGATCAGTCTTCAAAGTTGTGATGGAAATTATGTCAGGTTTGAACTAATGCTGCAAAACTTGTCAAAATTACCTCMATTCAGCAAGGTAAGGCTAAACGCTCCTTGAAATCTGTGATGAATTGTTATCAATCCATTTGATGCCTCTCTACTGGTAATAGTAAGGTGYCAGATTTTTGATTAGCAAGAAAAAGGTTAAAAGTCATAAAGTTCACAAAATATAGCACAGTTCAGCCTTTGCCTTTAGCAGCCAAACCCTTGATTTCATAAAAGAATGAAATCATACAAACTGCCAGCAATAGAGAACAGGTAATTCAGTTAGGTCAACTCTTCTGGAGTCTAATTTTTCATTTCAGAACAATATTCTTTCCAAATATAATTTAATAAAATTAGAACAATGACTGAAAGCAAATTAACAAGTAATTTTTGGTGTTATCAAAATCTACTATTAATTTAAACCGATGTACTGAATAGTATTCATTATTGCATACTTTAAAAAAAATACTTTCATTCTTATTTGGAATGAATGATGAAATTATAAAAACAATCTGGAAAGGAGTTCACTTTGTGTGTATTTCTTAATACACTCTTCCTGTTATGTAAGATGCCATTCAGTTCAATGAATATAAGAGCACAAATGTATTAGTGATTAATTTTTTCTGCAACATTAGAYTAAGCAGAGGATTATAAGGTTTCTCTTTTCCCTTAGGAATCAAACTACATATCTGTGACAGAATCTCTTCTTAAAAATTTTTGAATGTTGAAAATTATTCAGTTCACTGGAAGCTTGAAAGATTATTTTAAAATGAATAAGGATTGGGTGTTTAGGATCCCATTGATATCAGTCGGTCTCAGTAAATTACTTCAGGAACAATGAAGGTAAAATAAAAACACAGAAAAAKTGCATCTGGAGTGGGTAAGAGACAGCATATCCCAAAGTTTTACAAGACTATGTTTATGGTTTTGATAAGTGCAAATCCATAGTTAAAACTGTAGCTTTAGTCAGGAGAATTATTCTTTCCTCCATCTGTCACAATAAAGTACCATTTTGTTTAAAGCTAGCACTAAATTTTAGAGGGAAAAAAAAGGTCATGAAGGAAGGGGAATGGTCAAAAAAACCTTTTTGCTTCCAAGGACAAGTTTGGGGTTTTTTTTAAATCACCTTCAGCCAATTATTTTGCCTTCAGAAATATCTTCTAGCACCTCAGAGGAAAAGCTAATCTCAAAAGAAAATGTTTGAGTTGAAGTAAGTTCTGGTCATGCCAAGAACCACCCATCWGCGGGACTTTCCTCAGGTGAGCTCAGATGACTTTACCTGGTGTCTGYAAACCCATTTCATGGTTCCCTTCCTCCTCCACAGGGGAGGACTGTGCTTCCCACACGGTGCCTGTATTTCCCACCSGTGCAAGAGGCAACGTGGTGCCCTCTTTCTCTGTCCCTCTCTCCCCAGGACAAGCAGCAGCCCCAGGAGAATGTGCCGTGCCACGTGCCATGGCTGAGGCACTGTCCTCCYACCAGCTGTGTGGGAGCTGGTGGCAGTGATGAGCCCTGGGGATGGCACAGGAGCTGCAGAGCTCATCCAAACACGGGGACAGCTCCTACAAACCCCCCACACTGCCAAGGGCAGGAACAGAGCGCCAGCCCACTCTGCATACTCCACACAGAGCTTTTTCTGCATGTTAAAAAGGACCATTTTGTGTGTGTCTGAGCAGCCCAGGGTGTTTACCATAGGCCTGGTCTTGCTCTGTTACAAGCTTTAGTGATTAGACYTTGGCTGTGAAATCTAAGTGTTGCTGTGTGTTTAAAGACAGTGAATGTCAGCATCTCCATTTTACAAATGAGGAAAACATGAAGCGACCTTGTCAGGACAGGAAAAGGTGTTGAAGGCTGATAGCAAAACCACAAGAAGGATCCAGGTCTCCTGATAAATGGTTTAAGAGGTCATTCTGTCAACATTGAGCTAATATAGTGTTCCCAATCAGGCTTCAACACAAATCTCTCCTCACTGGAGGAGCCATATCAAACTCAGCCACTTTTCTTTCAGGAGCTTTTAACAAGTGATCAAAGTGACATTCTCCCGTTATTTTCCCTCTAAGAAACTCTGAGAGAGTTTTCCCTCTCAGCAGAAACTCAGCACCCCACCAGAACTGTAAGAGATTTAGTTCACCCAGCACTTGAGGCACAAGATGCTGCAATGCTGACTCGCTGGACTCCATCAGTTTCTTTAGCAGCCCTTGTGCAGAAGTAGCAAAACCAGTCCTATTAAAGTAAGGAATTGGCCAAGGCCTGCCTACGCCGTGGGCTGTGGCTCAATTTGAGCCTGAGGCATCTCAACACTCTGGAGTCTCCTGAGTCTTCCACAGCATTGTAACTTCAACATTTTGATTCCTTCACAACACAAAGGGTCTTTTTTTGTCACCCAGAAGGTGACTCAGTGTCAGGCCGTTGGACTAGATGATCATTGTAGGACTAGATGATCATTGTAATACTTCTAACTGAACCATTCTAATATTAGACGATGTTTAAATGAGCAAAGAGAGAAGGACTCATGCCTGCTTTGCCTGCCTGTCCAAAAGGGGTTAGGAGGATGAGGACAGATCTGGAATGCAGAGTTGAGAAAAGGCAGCAAAGGGCCTCAGACAAAGCCTGTGCTCAGCTGGAGGGTAAAGAAGAGCCACAGTATGTCCCCATCCCACTTAAAGGCTGCGGCAGCTGGAAGAGAGATATTGTGGGATGGCTGAGGACAGGATCTGCCTCTCCCACCTGTCACAAACTTCCCCTAGACCTTGGTTTTCCTCACTGCAGATTACATCCTTCATGGGTCATTAAAATCCATCCTGAGACACAACCATGGAAAGAATGYATGTGAGGAAAAAATGGAGAGAGATGAGAGGTTAGTACAAAAATGAAGAAAATAAACCTCTTGTATGAACATTTGAAGTATCTCAAAATCCTCAGAAATGTTTGAAACTGTTCGCTTGTGCATACCTGTACTTGATTCTAACAGTGGTTAAAATATTTGCCACAGAGAAAACCTAGAAGAGAAGGATACTGAAAAAAGAAAAAAAAAGAAAAAGAAAAATACCAACAGGTGTTCTGTCATATTTATTTATTTTTTATAATGTAATTGAGAGATGGACCAAGAGAAAATTCAAGCAAAGGCTAATGTAGGGACTAGTAGGAAAGTGACTTTAGTTATCTAAAGTCTCACAAAAACAGTCTTAGGAGGGTAACAGAAGGAGAGAAAAAAGCAAATACACATGCACCAGTATAATCCATACCTGCTAACTTCTAGGGCTAAATTTGGATTTATTTCCACTGACCAGGCCAGTTAATCAACTATATTTGTTATTGACTGATGGCTTAGAAAATCTCTGCCTTTGCAGCTGCATGACTTTCAAGTATGGAGTCTCTTTTCTTGCAGGAGAAATACAAAAGAAAATTAAATCTCTACCCTGAATGAAGGGCAAATGAGTATGCAGGGGTATAAAAATTCAGARCAGCACAAAACTGGAGCCAACCACTTTTTACTAAAATGACCACAGGTATCTTYCTTCATTGCACTGAGCATTAAAGGRAATTTTATTTTTCTTATTCAACAGTATTTACCTGATTRTAACTCATCTTTTTGAAGTTCCTTGTCAACAACTTCAGTGCTTCTCATAACTTCCTCCTTTAACAAGTCTGGCAGTTGCTGTATCATCCTGCAATTGCCTGACCCTTATCAGGTGTGCTTTACTAACATGAATCCCTTCCACTACCTCCATTTTTCCCATGTATAAGCTGATTTCATTGGAGCAATGAATACTCCACAGTTTTGGAGGGGTTTATTTTCCAGAAATTGTATGAGAATTCAAATGGGCTCTGGAGAAAGAGTCCAAAAAGTTGCATTATTTCAGTCCCCTGGACTGCTCATTATCACCCTGTTGAGCTGCACTGCCTACAGATTGCAAATGAAMAGGACAAAAAGAGAGAGGAAGCTAAAATATGCACCAATACACAAGCAGAAGTGCAAGCACACRTGTCAGTGCATTTCACTGAGTGGTTTAGTTTGAAACACTCACTAACACAGGCACAGAGCTTTCTCCTCTTTCCTGAAAAACAATGGAAAAGATATTTCAGTGCCTTCTCTGCTTTCTTCAGTCTAACACAAACAACTCGAGTTAAACACTGCTAAACAGAGGGGAAAAAAAGCATCCCTTGCTTTACATTAAGCCTTTCCTCCCATCTTTATCATTCCCTGGCTTTCCCTCCTTGTTAAACAAACCATTAGGTACCAAGGCAGCGATGCATCAGTGTCCACATGACTGGACACATAAGCTGTCCTTCGGGCCCTCCTCACAGGTGAAATAAAAAGCTGCCTCRTAAAAGTTTCTCTCTCTCACCGGAGCTTTTTCCCTCGGATGGCAGCAGCGTCTCATCCCTAGAGGGCAGCCGAAGAACGCAGCTCAAGGCACAGAGCGCTTCCCCCTCAGGCTGAAGGATTTATCACATTTAACCAGTTCCTTCTGTCTCTAACACGAGTCAGACGAACCACTGTGATTGACAAGCTTTGGGTCATTTCAGCTGCTTTTTTCCAGTTCCTCATGGCAGAGGTTCCATGAGCCACCCACAGCCCCACCCTGCCACACTGAGGGACGGTCTGTGGCACCTCCACCGAGCAGAACCCCAAACCCCTTACCTTATGATGACAAACATCACCAGGGAGTTTCCCACCAAGCCAACAACGAAGACCGCGGAGTAGACAGCGGTGATGATGATGGGGATGGCGGGGGAGATGCTGGTGTGGTTGTGCTGGCTGTCCCCAAAGGCCCCGGTGGCGTTGCTGTCATAGTCTGCCCAGCCCGCGGTCCAGCTGCTGCTGGTGCTGGGGGGGCGGCAGGGCCGTGGGGAACACGTGGAGTCCGGCTCCTCACGGAAAATCTGTACGGGGACATCCATAGGGGGACGATCCCCACGGGCAGGAGGGGTACCTGGAGGAGAGGAGGCAGGAATGCTGGAAAGAGACAGAAAGGAACASAAGTATTCTCACAGGGCACACTCAGACCTCCGGAACTTGTATGTGTTAAGGGGAGCTCAGCTGTGGTGGGAATTGAAATTTGCCAAGCGGAGATTTAAGCAAACCACGTTCATGTTAAACAATTGCAAGTTTTACATCCTGCTTTATGTAACGCTGCTGSTCCAAGTGCACAAGGAAAGTTTTCCTCCACTTTCAAAGGTTGCATTGTGAAGCAAAGCAGACGGGAACAGCTCAGATCCACCCCCACACTTTAACCCTGTCTTTCCCATCTTCCACATTTTAAGTCAAACTGTATCCTAACAGGGGCTCCTCATTTCCTAAGCCCTGCTATGAAGGGGAAGGAGACAGAGAAACCCACCACCTCTCTGCACACCTGCTTGAACATCCTGCCCCGAGTTATTTTTGCCTGATCCCACATCTACTTTCAAAGAAAATACACATTAAWAAMAAAAAAAAAAAAAAATACCTCTTTCAGTGCAGGAAAAGAAGCGGAGTCCTCAAACAGGTGCTCTTTGCAGGAAAAGAAAAGAATCGAGCAGCTGTGCTTGGCTCCTGGCAGTGCCACTGACCACCCAGGACTTTTGGATGCGAGGCACCCGCTCCCTCGGAGCAGAGCCGGCTCCGGGCATGAGCTGCACCGTGGAGCAGCGGCTGCTGCTGCTGTTCCAGCTCCCACCGCTTCGCCTTCCTCTCTCAGGCTCCCTCTGCCTCCCTCTCGCTCTGCCAGGGCTCCAGCAGCACTCTGCACTGATGCACACGTTCTCCACTGTCTCTGTCCCTGCAGCTCACAAGCTCACATGACTTCCTTCTAAACCCTGAGATGCAGATAAATTGAAAGAAAAGCAGGAAATAAGTTCTGCTCCGAATGAMTGCTTATTTTAGTACACTTTTCCAAGTTTTCTTTTGTCAATTTCTCTGCACACCCAGGCCTCAAGCAATGATCCTCTCTGCCTTATCTCGCAGGATTTCAGACCAGTAGTCACAGAATAAAGGAGGAATTTTAAATTTAGGTGCCTTACCTAGTCGATATTTCCTGCCTCAGTTTCACGATTGTGTGTCCTAAACATTTCTCAGTGGGTAGCTGTGCCCGTGTTCCTTTGCATCTGCAATTTCAAAGAAAGTCAGAAGCAGGCTACCAAAGAAGAGGGGWACCCTGATTACCATACAGTTTTTTCAAGCTGTCCCACACCATATGAGAAGCCAAGAATTCTATGTAGCACTCTCAGGGTTCCATTCTCCCAGCTGCAGCCAGAAATGGGGAGATGGTATGTGCAGAAATTACATCCCTCAGAGCTTATCTCTAATATACTCCTCAAGCAGGAGTTGGTTAGGCACAAATATGTGTGTTCAAGTATCCCTTAATTTGCACACAGACCTTGAATTACCCGCCAGGAGTCTCTCTAAATGACAAATTGGAAGAGAAGAGGAGAGACCCTGAGTTATTCCTATTCCTTTGGAAGAGGTTGGGAGCAGCCAGACTAGCTGCATCTCAAAGTGTGCAGCAGGAAAACCAGTCTCTAGAGAGAGACAGAGCCTGTGAGTTTCCTTCAAGCTTTTCTATATTGAAACTTYACCTCATGCTCCTCTTGTTGAGTGTCTGTGATCAGACTGGGTTCTCTATTCTAAAACAATTTTTTGTCTAAACCTATAATCAAGAGAATAAATTATGTCAGCTCTGAGTAAGAAGTCTTGTAGGAGACTTAACAAGTATAGAACCCCTCTCTTAGAGGAATAGTCTCATTCCAATGTGATCTTGGCTGTATCTGTGGTCACTGTTTTCTCCAGAACTTCAGTAACTCCTCACCACCACGTCTATAGAGCTGTCTAAAAGTTTCACATTCAATGACGATGGATAATAATGCAAAACAACAAACATGTGACAAAAATATCCCTGAGCCAAGGACACAGACCTGAGCAGTAATCATTTTTTTTGAAGATGAAGTGAAACCCTAACATAAAATGTAATCCAATTCTGTTTTTTTCCTCTGCAATCTGTGGTCTCCTGCCCATGTGCTGAAGGGAACTACTGTTGCTGTAGCTTCTCATACATAAATTTAATGGTCATTTTCAGCTTTTTGTTAGCACCTTGCCCAGACTTTTCCATATTCTGGAATTAAAATATACATGAGAGATTTAAGATAGCAACACTTTAGCACTCATTGATAATTCAGCTCTTATGARCCATCATTTTGTGACTCTGCAAATTGCTACAGGGGGATCAGAAACTTCTATAAAGGGAAGAAAAGCCTGTAATTGCTCTGAGTAAATCCACAGCACAGATGATGCAAGTAAGATAAGTAGCAGACTCACAGCTTTTTTAGGCACCAATGTTTGGACAGTAAACTGCTCATTCTCTAAATAAATTCTGTGCTGAAACTCTCCCCTGATCTCAAAGACAGCACAAAGAAAGATGTGCTCACAGTTATAGTCATTGACCCTGCAGGGATTTTGCATTGTAACTACATGAGATGGAACGAGGTGGAGTTTGACCACAACTCTACAAATTACAGGTTGAGCCAGAGGTGATGTTTAAGTCACCTGATGCTTTTTGTCTCTGTGTGTTCCACGTTGGAGGCCCAGCTTTGGCTCTTGGTTGCTGTAGGACTTTGCGATAAAATAGAAAGTACTTGGCTTAGGGAAAAGCGTTGTCTTCTGAAAGTCAAACCAAAATCATATGAACTGTTAAAAAATAATGTTTTCATTTCTTGTGTTTGCTTTCTTAATGAAAACCTGAATATCTGGATTATCAGCTGTAACTGGTCTCCCTGCAGGCATCAGAAACAATTGCCATGATATCCAAAGAAAAACTGAGGGAAGGGGGAAACCACTGCCCATCACCATTTTCCCCTCCTTCACTGCTCAGTGCTTCTGTGCCCTTCCCTATGGAAAACAGCAGGAGTTTCCTAAAGCCACAAGAGCAGAGAAAGTCAGGGATTGCTGGTGACCTAACCCAGACTGCCACACACCAGTGCCAGAAATCCCTGTTCCCTCTGAGGGCTGCCATGGGACAGAAGGCTCTGCTTTCAAAGGAAAGAAAGGAAATATCTACAGAATAAAGACAGCATTAAAAAAAAAACACAGTTTCACCACTCAGCTGCAATTCTCCTTCTTACAAACCTGTGGCTTGCATGCCCCCCCCCTTTTTTTTTTTTTTTTGCTATAATACTTTAGACCCAATAGTTTTCACCTCACTGGACTCGAGAAAGCACAATAGAAATCACTCAGACTTTTTAAATCAAGAACACAAAACTTTATATCAAATTCTATAACTATAGAAAATTGTTTGAGTTGTAAATTCCAGCCCTCAAAAGTGAAAAAAATTACCACATGCAGCTGCCCAAAACCTAGTGTCCTGCAACATGTGCATTTACTCAAATCTTATTTTCCCCAGGCTCTCTGCTCAATCAGAAATCAGCCACACAATGTTGCTCAGTACAGGTGGAAGGGCAACCGCAAACTGGGAATTTTGTATCTGTAAAGCGTTTTCTTTTGCAATCCCAGTGAAATTCTTTGAATGAATAAGAAACATGGGGGGAGGGAGATATACGATATTTAACAATAGCAGGTAGGAAGGGCTCCAGCACCGTCTCCTTCCTTACCAAAAGCTGTGAGCTGCCCCCATCAGCACCGTGCTTTAAAGCAATGTGGTGGGACATTAATTCAGCCCTGACTCAGAGGGAAGAATGAGCCACATTGAATCACTGGCACGACTCTGAGCAGCACCCCACAGTGCTGTCTGCTCCCATGCTGCAGCAGAGACCCCAGCACACAAAGGCTTTGAGTGAAAGCTGTTTCATTCCTGGCATTGTTTCCTAGAGAACCATGACACTTTATGGGTTTAAGTCAAATGTATGGGACAGGACAGGACCTTGAGTTTCAGCCTGAACTGTAACACTGGATACTTTGGTACAGGATCGTTTGCAATAGATCACCTTCTATTTTAGAGGCTGGAGGAGAGACCACGYGAGTTAAGTGGAGCACACTATCAAGATACTTTTTCAGCTAATCTTTGTTTTTACTACGTGCTTGACCAAAGGCTGCGATGATAGTGAGCCTGTGTAAAGGTAGGAGATGCTGGAAACCCTTTGTGGTGGCTCCAGTTGCCAGGGAAACAAAGTTCTCTTGTCTCTCTGCATCCAGAAATGTTAGCTCTCTGTGTGAACACAGCTCTCGGGAAATGGTGTGTTTAATGCTCTTCAAAGATCTGCAAGGGASAGGAAAGAGAGATGAGAAAGTACAGGTAATGCTACCTAAACAGTTTTTGTATACACATCTTGTTCACAGCAGACTAAATATTCAGCATAAGACTTGTGCTTTGCTTTTATTGTAGATAACAAAAGTTCGTGTTACTTTTGAAACAAAAAAAAAAAAAAATTACGGGTACAGACCCTTTTCATGACCTCCAGAAACCAACCCAATAAAATGCTGAGCMCTGGGATAGCTTCCACAGAAAGGGCCCTGGGCAGGTATGAAGGGACCAGCCACCCTCAAACTGCAGGGAGGGACTGGGGCAGGTGTTGGAAGGTTTCCGACCCTAGGACTTTGAAAAGGAGGGGAATTGTGCAGAGAAGAGCTAACTGGCAGTGGGAGGGTCAGTGCCTGGGGTTAGGAATTCAGAAGGTCCCAGCAGGAGGCCACCCACTCTGCTGYGCTGTCACCTGCTTCCCCCCAGCAGCACTTCCATCACAGCTTCCCACGGCACACATGCCAGGACCTTGGAGCAGAGGGAGAATTGTCAAAATGTGTCACCACTTTGCCATCCTCCCTGCATTTAACTTCATCAAGATCCTCAGCTGGAAGTTTAATACTTCCTCACTTTTCTGAGGCAGGCTAGAGCTGTGCCTCCAGAGGAAACACATGGAAGCCTAAAGCAGTTGAATGGGAGCTACAAAACAACTTTTAAGACTTCTCTTTAAAAGGGAAATTGTGGTATTCTGATGTCTGTATAAAGACACAGA